TATATATATATTTGTAAAGAGCGTACATTAGGAATTTGCCAACTAGAATATCACATCTGGGCACATCTTTCCTGTTTACGGGTCATGTGCTCATGTCTTTGAAATTCTACAGCGTGTTTGGCTCTTTCCACATCGTTGCCCTCCCGTATTACCCACCTATGAACTGGCTCTCTAGAGAACTAAATTTGCAAAGTCAAAGCTCGTTCTTGCTGCAGATATTTTATTGAGTCCATTTAATATCTCATTTTATGCCTTATTTCTTTCAGGTTTTGGTTTTGATCTTCCTTTGTTTTTTTTATACATATTTCTCATTGGGCCCATAGACTACAAGTCTTCAAATCAAACATTTTGATCAAAAGCAGACTTTAATTATTGCAGAGAACACCCTGGAGTAGGGGAGGGGAGTGTGCAAAAACTTTTACATAGAGCCCCTTCTGCGAGTTAAAACGGTTGTATTGGGCCCCCTAAATATGCAGTAGAAAGGGCACCAACGGTGGCCGGGAGACCTGGGATTTAGACCCATGCATGTCACACATATGAGTGGAAAGGAGACTTAATTTTCAAAGCATATTTTTATTTTTATACAATTTTATGATTACATTTTATACAATTATATGTATACACACACATATATATACATATATATACACATACATATATCTAAATAAATAGATAAATAATAAACAAATAAATAAATAAAACCTGGCCCCAGAACTTCAGAGAAAGAGCTGCCCTTTCGGCCTCTTTGCTGTGGAAGCAGAGCCTTGAGGACAGGCCCTGATGGACTGAGTCTTGGCAGAAGGCCCTAAGGAGAGTGTTTGGGTTCCCTGGGCAGCTGGACAGTGGAGAAGTGAGGAAGCCAGAAATTTGAGAAAAGGAGACGTTAGGGGAGGTAACGGGGAGAGTCTGGCCACATGTTGGCTGAGGCCAGAGAAATTTAGGATTCTGTGGCATCTGGAATTAGGAGCAAGGTTGGCACTGATCTCCCCACCCCCACTCTGCAGAAAGGGATGGGGGAGCTTGCTGAAGGCTGTTGCTGCACTGTGCCGAGGCAGGGCCAGGGAGTTGATCTGAACTTGAGGCTGCAATCGCAAAGAGGCAGAAGAGTGCTTCTATTGCAATGGCCTGTCTGCTGGGGACCCATGGGGAAGGTCTAGAAGGCTCGGCCTTGACCTCTGAGAGGCTGTCCCGCATGGTGAAACCAGCCTTCCCTCAGGGTTCCTTCCAGGTGTAAATGCCCAATTCTGTGAAATCAGAGGTAATAACAACAGCTGCCTTTTCAAGTCCTTAAAATGCACCAGGTGCCCACCAAACAGCACCCGGTAGGTGGTTCTCCCATTTCACAGATGAGGTCGTGGAACGTCACGGACCCAGAGACTTGCCTGGGTTTCCACAGCCAATGGCAGGGCCCGTTCCTGTTCAAACCCAGGGGACTCCTTAAACCCACCCTCTTCCCACGGGGAAGCACACAGCCTCCCCGTCCCGAAGCGCTCTCACCTGACGACATCATTGCGTCAGTATCAGTGACCCCCCCACCCGGGGTTTGGGTTTGCACCATTATTAAAAATGTGCTGCATTTTGAAAGTTGTGTAAGCCAGATGGTTGGAAACGTCTAGACGCGGCACCTGCTCTAGAAGAAACTGATTTAAATTGGAAGTGTGATTCTCTGGAAAGTACTGAGGGCTTTCATTCAATTACTTATTGATGTGAAGTCCCAAAGTTGTCTTTTCGCACGCCACCAAAAACCTGACCCATGAGGCCAGAAACGAAGAACCGAGATCCCGTGACCACTGCTTGACATGCCCCCGATTTACTTGGGAAACCCCGGCATTCCCTTTCTCACTGAGTGGCGAGACCCCTGCTGCTGACACACGGGCCAGGCTGTGTGGCCTTTATGCCAGGTGAGCCTCCGGTAGCAAGCTCAGGAGCCGTTTCATGCTCCGTGCTGAGCCGCTGGGGGCTGACCTCGGGCCAAGCCGGTGAGCAGCAACGATGACTGCGGGAGGCCTGTCCAGCTCCAGCGTCACGCAGGACGTTGGTGCCCCGGAGTGAAACAGGTCCCCGCACAGATGTGCTTGCTTGTCCTTGCAGACGGTGATGGTTGTTCCTAGAATCATTGTGAAGAATTTTAAAAACACTAAGAAAACTAACCTGAAAGTGATGGATTTCGTTGCCTCGAAGACACGGAAACCTAGGAGTTGAGAGCAGGCCGCTGCGGTTTATATCCACTGCAGCCCAAGGAAGGCCACCTGTTGGGTCATTCCAAAGGGGCTTTTGGCAAGTTCGGGAGTGTGACGTGGGCCTCTCTGCATTTCCCCGGGCACCGGGCGCTGGAGGAGAGGCCGGGGGAGAGACACTTACCCTCCCCTAATCACCCCAGGGTGCTGTTACTAGAAGAAAGGGGGCCTGGAAGCCGAGGGGCAGTCAGGAGCCAGTAAACATTCACCGTGCGAGGAAATCAAGGCTCAGTGGAGATGCAAGCCAGCCTCCACGTTAGGCGTGCAGCGGGAATCCACGCCGGTAATTTTCCTCATTTCCCAGGGAATATTTATCATGGAAGCGGCGTGGACAGCTAGCAGTTTTCGCTGCTACTTAGATTTCTTACGTGAATAGAACGGGATAAAGGAATTAAGGGCCTAAGAGAACTGAGGAGGGGTGGAGGGTGCTGTGTGAAGAGAATAGAAAAGGCAGGTAGCCATGGGGGCATTCTGAGCTGAAAGTCCGGACCCCTGGCCCAACCCGGTTACCATCTTACGGGGAGATGCACCACATTAACCCTCCTATGTATCTGGTGCTACAGATACAGAGACAAATTTAGCCCACTCCCTGCCCCGGGGACCCTCTAATGGGGGAGGGGCTGTGTGACGGGAAGGTGGGTGACCACCGTGGAGGTCACTGTAGCCCCAGAGTGCTCCCTGCTTTCACAGAGGAAGGGCCGGAGCACTTTGGGAGCAGACACTAACTACTCCCGGGGTGGAGAGGGGGGAGGCTGGAGGCTTCTGGAGGCAAAGACTAGCACTGGCCAAGGCGCGGGCCTGAGCAGCCGTGTCCCGGGCGGACAGGGAGGCTCTGGGCGCCCCTGCACCTGCCTCCGGCGCTCTTACTTTTACTCTCCTACCTCTGCTAGTTCAATTATTTTGTTGCAAAATCTGGATTCTCAAATGACTACCAGAAACTTCTGCAGTGAACAAGGACTGGCTGCCACATCCATCCGATTTGCGTAAACCCCTGAAGACCACGCTTCGTTGCCCCATCTCGTCTCTGTGGAGTCGGGGAGATGCAGACGGCTGTCGTTCTGGAGGCCCATCGGTCCAGCGGCTTTGGTGGCAGGTCAAATGGCATTTCTTTATTAAACTTCCCATATTGGGATGGCTGTCCTTGACCAATGTCCCATCTCCCCCAGGAAAAGAAACATGCTTTAAGGAGGTCACTTAGAAATGCTCCCACAGTGTGACTCACTAGAGGGGAATGTCAAAGGCTTTTGGGTGAAAACAAACAAAAGTGAAAAAATATGTTGATTTTTTTAAAAAAAAAAGACTTGGA